CCAGCCTTCCCTTCCTTCCAGCCCTGGGCTTCCTGCTAACTAACAGGACTGAGCAAGGGATAAGGGACAGGTAGATACAGATGAGGTCTGCAAATCAATCATATGAGCTTCCCACCCCCGATCAAGACTAATGATGGACCTGGCTTTCTATCAGTGTGATTTTCAGCAGTTATTTCAGGCATAGAGGGCAGTACATACAGGCAGTAAAGATACCTCTTCAATACTAGTCCTTCAGAAACCAGCAATTCTGACCTGGTGCCCGCCTCTTCCAGGAAGTCTTCCCTACTCTGCTAGGAGCAATTACCCTGCCCGTGCTGCCCCGGACTATTAAGTATGTTTGCTATTATAGTCTTAATATGGCTCACTTCATTCCACTTTGTACATCCATCTCCCTATATAATGGACAAATCCTGAAAGCCACTGGCTTTACTTTAACTGTTCTACCTTCCCGTAAAGCTGGGCAAAGATGCTTATTCCTTCTAAGCATCAGTAAATGTGCACTGCATTAAGATGGATGACCTCTCTAAAACCAAAGGTACATTCAAGGAGGCGATGGCACTCAGGAAATAATTAATCATGAATTGATAGATATTTTCCTCTGTATTTTCTCCTCCAAACCAGCTGTGGCCTTCCCAAACATAGCCTGCCCTGCCAGGGGACTTCCTGAAAAAAAAAAAGATGTGGCCAATCCAGTCATCCTCCTGGAAGAAATTTGATGATGATGATGATGATGATGATGATGATGATGATGATGATGATGATGATGATGGGGGTGGGAGGTGCCACAGCACACATGTGGAAGTCAGAGGACACCTCTTGTAAAGTTGTTTCTCTCCTTCTACCTTTATGTGAGTTCCAGAGACTGAACTTGGTCACCAGGCTTGCACAGAAGACCTCTTTATCTGCTGATCTGTCCTGCCAGCCTAGGTATCTGAATGGGTTACATTTCAGAGAGGAAAACTGAGGCACAAATATGGAGAAGGAAAGATGGGATTACACAGTCTGCTGTGGGAACTCCTTTACAAGACAAGGACAGTGACTGGACCTGGAAGTAGGAGGTGGGAAAGCCCAATCCTGGGATCCCAGAATTCTGTCAGGTCCCAGTGCAGCTTGCCAGAGCTAGGGTTTAAAATATGTTGAGCTAGGTAGCAAGATACAGAATGCTGTCACACAAAGTCTCTAGATATTGTTTTCCCATAAATACTTTGTTGAAATCACTGTGGAAACCATTCCATATCTCAATGCTTCAATACTGACCCTGATTTTAGCTGCAGGAATCTTCACCCATGAGGAGGTTGTCCCTGGAGATAAGAAAGACTAAGGGTTGTCTCCTCTTCAGACTTCATTAGAGGACACAGCTGACTGGGCATAGTGAATCCTCTCCTTGATCAGCACCTCAAAGAGCACTCCCCAGAAAGTCAACAGATTACAGTCTCTGAAAGGAACACTCACTTCCAGAACCTTCTCTTTCTATGTTGTCAAAGCTAGGCAATAACAGATATGTAAACACACTCACACACATACACACACAATATACACACATACGGCATTGTATGTATATATGTATACATATATGAGACATAAGTTTCAGCTGAGTACAGTGAAGAGCCAAATCTAATTCAGAAGATATTTAAAAGGCTGGTGTCCTGTCTTATGAAAATCCCAAGATGAAGAAAATCATCCCAAGATGATGAGCATGCATCAATGTTTGTGAAAAGAGAAATCTTGCCTCCGATTGGCTATTGGCCCAGATCTATTCAAAAGTAAAATGTCCCAGGCCTCCCAAGCATTCTAGAAAATGAAGGTTGTCTTCCCTCCTAACTGCTTGAAGCAGAGCAGTGAGGGCAGAAGCCTGCTGTTCTCTCTGTGAAGATCTTCTGCCCTGTAAAAGGGCTCAAGGGCCATTTGGTCCATCTCAGGCCTCACTCCTCTATATTCTTAGTCATAAACTGTTTCTGCTAAGGCACAATGGCTGCTGGTTAGACACTCCTGGAGAGACTTTCTGGGTTGGGTTGCACCTGCCAGATCTCTGCCTAGGAAACATCCCAAAAATTCTTACTACTGGGCCGGAGAGACCATCTGTGGTCCCACAGTGCAGCCTGCAGGGCACTAGTGATGTACAGTTTGTGGAGACAGAGATGAGGGGTATAAGCATTAAGAATGAGCATGCTATCCCCCTTCTATGATATCCAGTCCCCTGTAAAGCACATCCAAGCCTCAAGATTAGACAAATATTCTAGAATATGTCAACCCTGTGTATAAGCATTCATCATATTTCATGTCAGGCCATGTGAGGGCAGCTTCCTCATGAGACACAAAGAGGCAGCATCATACATTTTAGTAACTAATAACAGCACAAAACATGGGTGTGGAACCCAGACGGCTCAGAGCAGGGAGCCACCAGCTTAATCCCTGAGGACCAAGTGGGTCTTTTCGGAAGAAATGAAAGATAAGAAGCAAGAGAGAGGTACCTTTAAGATGAGCAATTGGGAACGCAAGTTATCATGGCATACGCCCTCGCCTTCAAGTGGCAGAGGCAAGCAGATCTCTGCGTTCAAGGCCAGCCCGGTATACAAAGTGAATTCCAGGACAGCCAGGACTACATAGAGAAACCCTGTCTTGAAAAACCAAAAGAAGAAGAGAAGGAAGAGGAGGAGGAGTAAGGGGAGGAGGAAAAGGAAGAAGAGGAGGAAGAGGAGGAGGAAGAAGCCATTAGCAAATGGGAATGAAGAGAGAAGGGAACA